CATCTTCTGGTAAGCCTCCCCACCACCTCATCAACTTGCGAGCTATCATTTCTCTCAACACAGAACACACTACCTATTAATAGCACCCAGACAGTGGCTGTGCTCGCTTTCGGCGAGCGGTGTTTGGTTGCAAACTGATGAGGATGTTGTTGCTGCTGTTGCCGCTGATTCGCACTCTCTCATGATGCCGTTTGCAAAACAAATTTCGCATACGCAGACACATATTTGCCAAACCTGATAGACTGATAGTAGTGAGATTTCACATGGAAAAGACACTGTTAGCTGTAAAGTCAGCAAAGGTCACAGGTCAGCGGAATTAGTGTGTGTGTGTGTTGCTGGAGCTGAGTTCCATTGAAGCATTTCTTGTACACTTCTTCACTGGAGATGGTGCCTGTGTGTTGTCGTCTAATTCGCGATGACACAACACTGCCACTCCGTAATTAACAGCTCTATTTTGGCACTGAGGAGGAGAAGGAGGAGGAGGAGGAAAAGAAAGACAGAAAGAATTACAGACAGTCTGTTCTGCCCTCTCCCCGCAATGAGCAGAATAAATGTGAACTGCCAGTTGGTTTGCAGTAGTGTGCAGCACTTAGCAGTACTGTCGCCAGCTACACACACACCAACTTGGATCATGTTTCGGGTAACTGCAAACAGACACGCTTGCTGTCATTCATGAGACTCTCTTTCTCCTTCTCCTTCCCTGCCCTCGTTGGACTCACTTCACTGCCATTATTTGCAATTTACAGCTGTGCTCAGAGGACACTACCAGTGCTCTCTATCTATCTATCTCCCCATCGACGCTTCTTCTGCTTCTTTTTCACTGCGGCCCATTAAACGTCAGTCAGAGCAGTAGAGCACGACTGAATCTGACTGACTGACTTTAGCAGCAGTAGTGGCAATACTAGGCCCAACTTTAGCCCCTCCACTCTGACGACTTCAGCAGATGTACAGTCACACACAGTCACACAAACACACACGCACCCACTGTTGCCTGCCATTTTCCGGTGGCCTGTGGTATGTCACCGACATGCACACACAATTCGGTGACTCCTGCCAGAAATGCCCCCCCCCCTCTTTTTATGCATACACACACACTGGCTGGCTGGCCTCTCTTGACAAGGCGTGAAAATAAATGTCCATTGGCAACGGGGCAATTAGTTTGCCCCAATTGCCCATATGTGAGTGTGTGTGAGTGTGGTTGCTCGCTAATTGCCCATTGACCGCCAACTGAGAATGGGAGGACAGAGCAAAAAAACTTAGGGCAGCTTATTCTTTGGAAACTGGCTTTTCAGTTGAGAAGGGTGAACTTGATTTGTGTGCCTAGCCACCACCACCACCACCAAACACACCATGACAAGCTCATCTTCATTTTCATGTTTGATTTCTGAGAAAAGAAGGGCAATAAAACAAAAGACTAACTTGAAACCTCTTATTTTTCCACTCTTATCCTCTTTCTTCACAGCAACAATTTCACTCTCAGCAAAGCCTTTCCAATGCAGCTCACAACCCAGCTGCAGTGGCGGCGGCGGCGGCTGCGGCGGCAGCAGCATCTGGTCTGCCTTCCTTTGCCTCCCACGCCGGCCTTGGTGGCGGCCATCCGGGCTCGCTCGGTCCGCCTGGAAACGCTGCAGCCGTAGCGGCCATGGCAGCGGGCAATCCCAGCGCCGCCAGTCTGCTGGCGCTCTCATCAGGATCGCTGGCAGCAGCAGCAGCAGCGGCCGCCGGTGTTCCTCCAGGAATGCTCGGCGGCGGCGGAGGACCAGGCGGACATTTGGGTGGCATGGGCGGTGGCGGTGGTGGCCTTCCAGTGGGAGCCTCCTCGCTGCCGGTGAACAGCAACAGCAATGGCAACGCCTCGCTGATGCCACTGCCCAGCGGCACGCCCAACTCTACGAGCAGCTCCTCAGGTCTGGTGGGAATGAACGCCGGCTCTCAGCAGCTGGGCGGCTCTGCCTCACTCAAGGAAGGCGGCGGCATGAACATCGACCGCAAACTAAGTGGTAAGTGGCATCCCCTCTCCTTTCATTCTATTTTCCCCCTGACACTGCTTATTCTGACATTTCCTTTCGTTTCATTTCACCCCACAGATGACACTCGTCGAGAGGTTAGTAAAAGTACATTGGTAGCAGCAGCAGCAGTAGTGCATCAGCAGTAGAACAGAACAGCAGCAGGCACTACCACTACTACTTCTGTTGACAAATAGGATAATAATGTGATAATGGCTCAATGGACGGCGAATAATTGGGCACTGGTGAGATATATTGTGGCCAGAGTGGGGAGCTTTTTTATTGCACTTTCCCCCTCTTTTCTGTTATGCACCGCAGAAGAAGCTGTTTCAGCAACGGCAGCAGCAGCAAATGACGCGGCAGTTCATTGATGCGATCCACATGCGACTTTGTATTAGGAGAAAAGGGAGAGAGAAGGATAGAGCTGAACGAAAAAGGGAGACCTAACTGCAAAGCCTAAGACGGTACTGCCACCGAGATTGCCAGCAACTGATGCGTGACATTCGAAATTTAAATGACAGCCCGTGATGAGCACAGAAGCCAGCCAGCCCAGCCAACGTCGACGATCATTATTGGGTAGTAGTAGTGGTGGTGGTCGTAGCAGGAGAAGGCACTTGGAGAAGGCTTTGATTTAAATTAATCGAAAGACGGAGCCAGTCAGTCAGCCAGCCAGCCAACTTGACTGCCCTTTCAGAGTGTAGATAGGCGGCAGGGGAGAAAGAAAAGGGAAAAGGAGGAGAGAATAGATTTTGCGGAATTTGCAGTCGATTGCGGACACACACACACACACACACACACACACACACAGTGTGTGTCTTTGGTGATAGATGCTGCTGCCGTCGGTGATGCTTCAGTGGACAGCAGCAATTTGCTGGCAGTCGAAGAGAAGTGGAGATAGAACAAATGAAGGCAGTATTACCAATCTATTTGTCGACTTGTCGGGTCAGCGGCGGCACTGATGCTCACAAGCTGCCTCCTGCCCCCTCTCTTCGGCGCCCCGAGCTGCCCTNTTCAGTGGACAGCAGCAATTTGCTGGCAGTCGAAGAGAAGTGGAGATAGAACAAATGAAGGCAGTATTACCAATCTATTTGTCGACTTGTCGGGTCAGCAGCGGCACTGATGCTCACAAGCTGCCTCCTGCCTCCTCTCCGGCGCCCCGAGCTGCCCCGAGCAGCCATCATCAATGGCTCTCTTGGATAACTTTGCAGAATTTATGCTCACTTAGTCTCGCAATGCACTTCACACTTGAATTAATGCGCAGGAATAGAATGGAGGAGAAGATCTAGCGAGGGGGAGAGGAAGTAGAAGAGTGGATGAGCATGACGACTAGAATAGAGTGGATAGAGGAAGGAAAGAGCATCAGGGAGCAGCGATGAATGAACGGAGCGAATCAATGTTCAAAATCTCCCTTTTTTGAGTACGCTTCTCTGCGTCTGCTGTATTTCTTTTTTATCNGCATCAGGGAGCAGCGATGAATGAACGGAGCGAATCAATGATCAAAATCTTCCTCTCCCTTTTTGAGTACGCTTCTCTGCGTCTGCTGTTTCTCTTTTTTTATTATCTCGGCGTTTACAGCTGATTATAGTTAACGTATTCTGACAATGGAAACTATGAGAGGGAATAAAATAAAGGCTACTGATTAGTAGGGACACACTGAGTTACTCAACTGACACTTGGTCTGCTCTCTTTTTCCCCATTTCTTCTTCCTTTCCTTTTGACCATCAGGAGCAGATCTCACCACACAATGGCGACACACAGTCACCTCGGGACGGCAGTGCGCCGGAAATGCGCATCAAGCGTGAGCGTCCCTCCTCTCGGTCGTCCTCCAACCGAAGCACCCCTCACTCGGGGAGCAAGTTCATGAAAGAGGTAATTAATCGTTTGCCTTTTCAGCACACACTTTTTTCCGTTCATCCAACATCTGACACTTGTGCTTACTTTCTTCTTTTAGGATATCAAGTCAGAAAATGCCAAAACCAGTACTCCCAATACCTCCTCCTCCACCAATGGCACCAACAATGGCAGCGGTGGCAGCAGCAGCAGCAGCAGCAAGACACCAAAGCCGACGACCTCCATCGGGCCTCCCTTTCCGTACCTGGGCCCGGTGGGTGCCGGCGGTGGCATGATGCCCGCCGACCTGAGCATGGCGGCTGCCGCGGCCTACTCTCAAGGCCTCCTCTCTGGTCACAACAGCAGCGGCCTTTCTCCGGGGGCGCTGAACGCCGCCGGCTTTCCTCGTGGTCTCATTCCCAGTGCCGTCTTTGATACTCATCCCTCGCTGAAGGCTGCCGCAGCCGCAGCCGCCGCCGCTTCCGGTGCTGGCGCTGGTGGTCCTGGCGGTAAGCCCGCCTACTCCTTTCACGTGGCCGCAGACGGGCAGGTCAATCCGGTGCCCTTCCCACCGGACGCCCTCAATGGCAGCGGCATCCCTCGCCACGCTCGGCAGGTAAACACACTGAACCACGGAGAGGTCGTCTGCGCGGTGACCATCTCCAACCCCACAAAGCACGTCTACACCGGAGGGAAGGGCTGTGTGAAGGTGTGGGACATCACCGGCGGACAGACGACCAGCAAGACGCCGGTTACGCAGCTCGACTGTTTGGTAAGGCATTTCAGTGTAGTTGTGGTGACTAGCTTAGTTCGGACACTTCTAATCAGACACTTAAACTCCCCTCACACAGGCACGAGACAACTACATTCGTTCGTGCAAGCTAATGCCCGATGGAAAGACGCTGATTGTCGGCGGAGAGGCAAGCACTATCTGCATTTGGGATCTCAATTCGGTGAGCGGAAATCAATTTGGTACATTCTGTTTCATTTTTGCTAATCTTTCTTTTTTTTGTGCAGCCAACTCCTCGAATTAAGGGAGAACTGTCTTCACAAGCGCAGGCCTGCTACGCACTGGCCATCTCACCTGATTCGAAGGTCTGCTTCAGCTGCTGCTCTGACGGCAACATTGCCGTATGGGATTTGCACAACCAGTCGATGGTCAGGCAGTTTCAAGGGCACACTGACGGTGCCTCCTGTATTGACATCAGCAATGATGGACTCACACTGTGGACTGGTGGCCTGGACAATACTGTTCGATCCTGGGATCTGAGAGAAGGTCGACAGTTGCACCAGCACGACTTTACCTCACAGATCTTCTCTCTGGGCTACTGTCCGACGGGCGAGTGGTTGGCTGTTGGGTATGTTTCTTTACAAATGTTGGGATGTCATTAGTCTAACACCTTGTTGACCTGTTTCAGTATGGAGAGCTCTAATGTTGAGGTGCTGCACGTGAGCAAGCCTGACAAGTACCAACTGCATCTGCACGAGAGCTGTGTCCTCTCACTGAAGTTTGCCAGCTGTGGAAAGTGGTTCGTCTCCACCGGAAAGGACAACCTCCTCAATGCCTGGCGTACTCCATATGGCGCCTCCATCTTCCAGGTAGGCACTTTGTCCTAACAATTGCTTAAAACATTCTTTAACACTGCTATCCCCTTATCAGTCAAAGGAATCCTCCTCCGTTCTCAGCTGCGACATTTCCTCTGACAACAAGTACATCGTCACTGGCTCGGGTGACAAGAAGGCCTCCGTCTATGAGGTCATCTTTTAGGACGGCGTGGAACGACGTGCCAATTCCAAGTGATATTACTATTTTTCTCAAGTGATTGTATATACTCTCGCCTGTATATTGACACACACGCATACACTTCCAAATACACGTCACACTCATCTGTTCAACTTCTTCATTGACTTTGTTTTGTTGATGCATTTTTTGTCTTTTTTTCAAAAGCGGCTCACTGGTGAGCAGTTTTTCCTTATTCCTTTTTTATCCATTTGCAATCAAGTTGAAAAGAAGCAATAAACGTTCTTGTCATTCTTGCTTAAACTGTTCTACACGTTTATTGAATAGCTGCACTTTTAATCTGGTCTCTAATCATGTGTG